TATCGTTATAAATGTCTGCAGCAAAAATGTTTGATTGGCTTCTATCTTGGAAAATTTAGGAAGATAAAATTGTTGTAGATCTTATACTTAATTTTTCTAGGCACATTTAGAACATATAAAAGAGAGACATTTACGATCAAAAAATTTTCTAATATTTGCTGTACAAATTCTATTTACTATTTACACAAATCCGTTCGTTAATAATTATAAATAATATTATGTACACACTATAAAATAAATGTGAAAGGGCAAGTGCGTGCGCGGAACAAGGTCGACGACGGGGATTCGGGACAATCGCCTCGACTCGAGCCGCCGCATTGGCCAATGAACCTAATCGTAATCACCGAACGGACAGTGTTCCCACATGATCGGCGGGGGTGGTCGTGATAACCGATTTCGTTCGTTCTTATCGTCCTTTGCCGGTTACCTATCTTCCGGAAACAAAGTATAATTTATTTTATAATGAAAGCTTAATATATTAATATATTATACTTATTGCGTTATTATATTATATTATACATTTTTATGGGGTACCATTTAATAGAAATAAGTACATTTATACAAAGRCGTCAAAAGGGTTTTAGGCGTTTTAGACCCACACAGATCTTGTACTTGTTCTGGTTAAATACTAAATACTAAATACTAATCTGGTAAATACTAAAATACATTAACACAAACTATCAGTAATCAGTAAGAAAGTAAATATCAGTGATTTATAAACAATATTTACGGTTTCATATAATATCTGTCATGCCTCTATAATATCATTATTGGGCCATTATATGTCACCGCCACGTTTTACACACAGACGTGAATCACACACAGCGCTTTTTGAAATATATTTAAGTGGTTTATAATCTATAACACACTTGGAAAATCGCTAAAACACTAACTTCGTAGTCTATTCTTATAGGCTATGATACACGTACCTACCGAATACATGCAGTGCAGTCGTCCAGAATAATTCGATTAGAGCGTTAAGAAAACAGACATGACTATATTTTAGAGGATTGTACATTACCACCCTAGAATATTGACCCGTCTGTTGAATCCGATTAGCTAGACTACGATATCCCTCCCCATACGATGTCATTGTGGAAATRATTACATTTTCATATTATCGTATTTACTTATTGTACACAATAATACAATATATAAAATATTATAATAAAAATATTTTTTAAATAAGTTTTATACCCAATAATACCTATACTATGATATTATATATATATATGTGTGTATTAATATGAAGTACCATTAGGAGATTCGTTGATGTGCATAAAAACCGATGATATATCTTATACAAGACTTACGTGAACAAAACGTCAAAAACGTATCCTGTAGGCCACTCCTACCCCTGTGTTTGATGGGTATTTTTCACGGCAACAGAACACTAGAGCTGATCGATACCGAACTAGATGGTCCGTCGCCTACGATGACATAAACGCCCGCGGCATCATGGTGCCCGATCGTCGGCGGAAAAACAGCGGCGATGGCGGTCATCGCGTGCGAATACGAAAAAAAAAACACGGACAATTTTTGGCATGGAGAGGGCTAGTGGAAAACTCAAAAAGACCGCACACGAAACACGTGTACTCGTCGTGGGTGGGGGAGGGTGGTTTCGGAAGGGTTGTAGACGAGCACCACGGCGGGAATCGACGAGCGGACGACGAACAGGCCGGTCGCACGGAGCCGGACGAACATGTAGGTACTGCGCGTAATGCGTATACACTATGCGGTCTGCGCACCGCGCTCACCTGTGGCACGGGCGCCCCGACCGAGCGGCGGCGTGTCTTCTTCGCGAGACATCGGTGGGGATGGGCACGGTGGCGAGGACCGGCGGCGGCTGACAAGACTCGGTCGAATGTTTCGCACGAAAGTCGCGGCGGCGGTTACCGGTTATAACAACAATATCCATAGGTATATGTTGTACACGCGCACCTGTATCCGTTTGGCGGCGGGCGCAACAGGTTTTTTTTCCCGTGTCCCGATATTTTGCTCTCGTCTCAAGGGTCGTTCGTCGTACTACTTGCCACGAAGAATAGAATACAAGTCCACCGCTGTGACAAGCGATGTGTCCAAGTGAGTATTCGCTGAGACCGTGACAATATTAATCGTCGTATAAAACCGCACAACTGCCTGATTAAGTGCAATATGTCTGTAACACATTATCATTCAWCTATCTATATAAAAATGGATTTCTGTCTGTCCACCTGTTTGTCCTATTTATGCATTCCTAAACGGCTGGACCAATTGCGACGAAATTTGGTACAGAAATAATATATTAGACCTATGGGCAGAAGATGACTAAGTTAAAAGCGATTGGCCCAACCTCGGGAGGTGCTCAAACAGACATTTCGAGATTTACGACGCAAATTTTTGTTTATTTATAAAAGGTTGCTGTTAGTGCGAAATAAGTCACTATCCCTAAATTTGTTATTATTGTTTTTTTTATTTTTTGTTTCTATGGCACGTGCGTCTATGGTATTACAAGTTTTTATTGATATCTTGTGTTTTTTCATCACATTGCCAACAAATTTCTGTAAAATAACAACAATAACGACCAATGAGTTAATTGACAAAGTAGCTTTTCCAAATCTACCACAAAATTACAGAAATTGTCAGTGGCTCAGTGCACGGTCTATATTGGCAGCCAAAAACTGTAATGTAAATACAATCAATATCACCATTTTAAACGATATTCCAGGCGACACAACAACGTACCAAATATAATTAAACAAGAATATTTTAACTTCAATATTTTACACATTTAAAAGGTGATAATAATTTTTTTTTTATTTGTCACAAATAAGTTGTGATATATTTTATGAGGAAATTTAAAAAAAATAAAAATCTTTTCATATGCCTTTAGGTTAAATTAAAATATATTTATTTCAGTGACGACTTCACTTTGGTGGTCAACTTCATTAATAATATTAAATATTATGCAATTATACTTTTACTACTTTTAGTCTACATATTATATGGTAGTGTCAAATTTTCCTATTTTTAATAGAAATACACAATGGCGTAGCCAAGGAGGAAGCGGGAAGCAATTAACTTACCTCCCCCCATCGCCACCCATATTTAACAAATATATTATAATGTCTGACTAAATTATAAATTGGGAAAAAAATTTAAAAATAACGCTTGTTGCCCATCTCCCCTGATGAATTTTCTAGCTAAATCCTTTGAAATACATATTATCCTTCTGTCGATTGTTATACATTTATAACTATAATATATTAATACATATATACAGTAGCGTACGCAGGATTTTAGTTCGGGTAGGGTTTTCAGTATAGGTTGATCAGAGACCCGTGGGGGCTTCGCCCTCCATACCCCCAAACTATAGGTGAACTAGAAATTTCGGGGGAGGAGGTTATAACCCTAGAACCCTACCCCTGCGTACGCCACTGCATATATAATAATCTTGTTTAGTTTTTTTTTAAACCACGTGAATATATAAATATATATATTAAGATTTGTGATGTGCTGCGTAAAATGAAAAAGTATACTGTCGGAATAAAAATAAATCGGTTGAAATTAATGTCATCCATATTACATTATATGAATGCGGTATTCTACTTATAGGTACCGCCTATAATCGTGCATTCGTGCATCGTATCGATAGGTAGGTACATATCTAATAAATTATAATAAAACAATGTAATACCCGTTACCCCTCCTTATCGATCGATGAGATGTCTTACAACTGACTGGGCCCAGACAGCCAGACCCCTACGGATCCGGCCTAAATATGGAGGTCAGTCGCGTAAACGCACATATAGTGTACTTGTGGGACRTTATTTGATTTTTTTTTACGTGCACCCGTAGGCCCGACTGGGTGGCGGTGAGTGAACACCGGTTTGTCCACAATTCCGGTACCGCGATAAGGTCTCCCTTCCGCTACAAAGCCTTCCGCCATCCGG